GGCTGGGACAAGGAGCGCAGGTGTTATGGTGAGCCTCGTGGCAGGTTTTAAGTGTAGAATTGATGACATCTGATGGGTTTAAAGTGACCACTCAGCCATCCGGCACAGAATGGATTTCAGGGGACAATAGAAAGGGCGAAGCCTGTTAGGAGGATGTCAGGAGTCCAGATGAGGGCTCTACACCTAAACTAGTGTCGACAGTGGAACTGAAGGGCATGGCAAGTGGACTCACATTGTGAACAGAGAAGAGAACTGCCATTTACAACTCCTGAGGGAGTGACCACAAAGGAACCTCACTTGACGGTGCCACAGGGTGGGGCTCTGAGGAAAGGCGGCAGATCACAGCCAGGTCTGCAGTGTCTAGAACAAAAAGGGTTTGGGAAGAGTCCCTGATTCCAGCCCCAGTCCTAGCATGAGGGAGTTTCTTTTATCCTAGGACTCAGCAGATGGGAGGGCAGGCGACTCACCCCGGGACTGGGCAGCTGATGGCGGACCTTCTTTCCGGACTAGTGCTCCCCCTGTACGAATCACTGAATGCATAGCTTAGAAAAGTGAGATGCTTCAGGGGGTTTGGAAAAGGGAAGTGCATTGGATGAGGCCAGGACACGTGTGTTGTGAGGCCCAGAGTTCTGTGTCGTGGTAGCCTCTGAGCCCCGGCCGCTCCAGCCCTGGGGAGAACTATCCGTGCAGCTTCCACTGTTTGTCTGGATGGAGCACAGAGCCTGTGCAGGTGTCCATCTTCGTCGGCAGCAAGGTTCAGAGGGAAAAGGTGCAGGATGAAGCTTAAGGAAGGACAGGTCAGCAAGGACCCATTTCTTACTACTCTCCCCTAGCTGGCCAGGTTCCCAGCAGCCCCACCTCCAGCATGCAGGAGCAGCGAGGGCTGCTGGGCTGGAGATGGCATGAAGGTGCTGTAGAGGCACCCCTGGGAACCACTGTGCTGGCAGAGAGGGACAGAGGAGAGGAGAAAGGGCTTCAGAACAAATGCAGACCACTCAAGACTTGGTTCTCCCTGGGGCAACCTCCCAGACCTAAGTCCGTTCAGTCACTCACTCACTCACCCACCAATATTTGAAACACCGGTGATATAGCCAAGAGGTAAAATGAGGAAAGAAGCAGGGAAGGAAGAAAAGAAGGGAGGGAGGATAAAGAGAACGGGATGGAGGAAAAGGGCACAGGCCCCGCCCTTATAAACCTCACAGCCTAGTAGAGGAAAAAATAGGAATCAAAGAATGACAGGCCTATGAGTTGGAGGTTCCAGCCAGTCTGAGCGTGAATTCCTGTAGTCAGCTCTGAGCCCTTCACTGTCTCCTCTGAGCCTTGGCACATGCTGTCGCTCTGCCTGACCGTCTTCCCTGTGTCCCTCCCTCCTTTATCCGTGGAGGGAGCAGAACTGAGGCTGGGCCGGTAGGACATGTTCACCGGGGCAGCTGAAGGCTCAGTGGAGGTCTGAGGAGGGGAGACAAGCGGGGCATATAGACCTGCCCCTGCCATCCGTAGACGCTTCTCATTCAGAGGGACCATGGCCTGGGGGGCTTTCTTGTGATGACCCTCAGCAGTGACATGAGTGGGATGGCGTTTCCTGTCCCCATGGCATGTGCTTCCCCTCAGCCTTTCACCAAGGACCTGCCATGTGCCAAAGACTAAGCACTGGGGGATAGAAGGGGAACGAGACTGGTGTGGCCCCCCTGCCCTGCTCTCAGACCTGCCGATCTCCGGCGTTTGTTTTCTTGAGACTCCTGACGCTGCCTGCCCTCAACTAGGGATTCCTGATCTCTGCATATCCCTTCCCAGCCATCCAAGACAGCAAGAGATGTTACCCTCTGGCTAACTCTTACTTATGCTTCCAGTCTCAGCCAGATGTCATGTCCTCAGTTCAGCCTCCCCAGGGGTCCCTCCACATGTTCCGCAGCCCCTGTACCTCCCCATCATTGCCCTGGGCCAGAACGGGCTCTGACTGTGTCTCAATAGAGACAAAGAAAACTCGGAGCAATCACAATACCACTTTGGCTTCCTAATTTTCTCTGCAATCTTTGGGGGGCCAGTGCCAACCAGGCCTTGAAGACTGATATTCCTCTGCGGGGTGAGAGATGCCTGCCTCCCTCTCTGGACTCTTGTGGGACCAGCAAGGGGGATCCAGCCTCTCTTGTCATCAGAAGACATGAGCTATAAATGTGATTCCCCAACCTGGCTGTATGTGCAACACTTGGGGAATTCCTAAAAATAGAGATGCCTGGGACTCTAACTCCAAAGACACTGCCTCAGTAGATCTGTGCTGAGATCTGGGCGTATACATTTCTTGGAACTTACTCCAGCTTCATGTACAGATCTATCGCAGCAGCATCTGTAATAGCAGAAGGTTGGTAACGGCCTAACTGCTCACCAATAGGAAACTGGCTAAATAAATCATAGCCCATCCAGGCAATGGTATTCTGTGTGCCCTAGAAAGGAATGAACAAGCTCTTAAGTACTGATAGAAAGAGACCTTCAGGATAGGTTATTGGGTTAAAGAAAAAAAAAAGGCAAGGCGTATAACATACTATTTTTTCATCAAACTTTAATCAAACTTTTTCTGTAAAGAGCCTGATGGTAAATATTTTAGGCTTTACAAGCCACGTATAACCTCAGCCTGGAGGCGCTGACGTGGCTTCAACAGAGTAAACCTGTAAATGGAGTGGATCACAGAAAACTGAGGGGTTAGTCCTGAGTGGCCACTGGAGAAGACAGGCACCTGTGTTAGGACCCTCGGATGGAGGCTTCCGAAGAACCCACAGAGGCACCTGATGTTAAAGCACCAGCTTTTACCATCCGCAACCCTCGGAGCCAGAGAATAACCCTACAAAGCCAGGCAGCTATCCCTCCCCACTGTCCTCCCCACTCCAACCTTGCCCTGCCACCTGGAATAACATGCACCCGCCCCTGTCATGAGATAGCCTTTTGATGTTACCCCCTCCTGAGTCTCCTTCTTTCTTTCCCTCCTCTATTTCCAACTGCTCCTAATGTCACCAGGTTCCCAGACATCTCCCCAGCCTCCTTAGTCTCTGACCGGTCCGTCTGGGGCAGCCCCCTTCTCCTTATCCCTGGAGCTCCCAGCTTTAGATCACCGGCACTCCTGGGGGCCACCTCGTCAATTTTGACACTTTTATCTTCTGAGGATGATCCTTTTCCACACTGTAACTTCCCAGCCCTGAATTTGTCCAGAAACCAAAAACCACTGGACTTGGGGCCAGACCTAGCTGTGACCTCCAGCAAATTATTTCTCATCTCCAAGGCTCTGTTTCCTGATCTGAGGAAGCGGAGATAATAAAACCACCGCTGAGGGATACAAGGATTCAAAGACCTGGTGTGCATGCCCGCCAGATGCTTTGTGTGCCAACTTCTGGTGCCCAGTGTGAACGTGGAGATCCTTTGCCCTCTCAGCGGACTCAACTCAGTGGATTAATCAGAAGTGCACACAGTTTTTGGGGTTTGCTGTGGAGAAGTTCGTGCTGCTTGGAAGGACTGTGGTTCGTGAAAAAGTCCCTAGATACCGTCAGCTCCTCCTACCCCATCCCTGCTGCAGAGGCTCAGTTTATATCTGTGGTCAGGGCTGAGCCCAGAGGGCTATCCCCAGAGCTGCACACCCAGGAACTGAGGGAACACTCTCTGAGGAAGCTGACTTGGAAACTCGGAAGTGCCTTCTTCAGTCCTGGCAGCTGCCTGGTGCTGCTGGGCTTGGGAGGCTAAGAGCAAGAAACCGGGGGCTGAGCACAGTGGCTCATGCCTATAATCCCAGCACCTTAGGAGGCTGAGGCAGGAGGGTCGCTTGGGCCCAGGAGTTTGCAACCAGCATGGGCAACAAAGCAAGACCACATCTGTATATATATATATATATATTTTTTAATCAGTTGGGCTGTTGTGGTGTGTGCTACTTGGGAGGCTGAGGTGGGAGGATTGCTTGAGTCCGGGTGGTTGAGTCTCCAGTGAACCCAGATTACACCATACTCCAGCCTGGGCAACAGAGCAAGACTCTGCCTCAAAAAAAAAAAAAAAAAAAAAAAAAAAAAAAAAAAAAAAAAAAGAAACCTTATCCAGACACAGAGCCATTGCAAAGAGCCAGCAAAGATGTTTAATCCAGCAGATACATTTATCAGTGGAGGCAGCAGAACTGAGGCTGGGCCAGTAGGATATATTCACTGGGGCGGCTGAAGGCTCAGTTGAGGTCTGAGGAGGGGAGATGAGTGGGGCAAATAGCCCTGCCCCTGCCATCCGTAGATGCTTCTCGTTCAGAGGGACCATGGCCTGGGGGGCTTTCTTGTGATCTGAGTGGGATGGGGTTTCCGGTCCCTGTGGCATGTGCTTCCCCTCAATCTTTCACCAAGGACTACCATGTGCCAAAGACTAAGCACTGGGGATAGAAGGTGAACGAGACCGGTGTGGCCCCCTGCCCTGCTCTCAGACCTGCCAATCTCCAGGGTTTGTTTTCTTGAGACTTCTGACGCTGCCTGGCCCGAGTCGGCACTAGGGATTCCTGATCTCTGCATATCCCTTCCCAGTCACCCAAGACAGCAAGAGCTGTTGCTTCTGTTCTCAGATTTCTCCCTTGGCTTCTTGATTCAGCGTTTCATCCCAGCTATGGTTTAAAAAACAAACAGCAAATAAACAAACTAACCACACACCCAAACAAATCTCAGACTGCACAGAATGGAAGCACTGCCTGGAATCATAAAGATCATTTGTTCTTGACCGGGCGCGGTGGCTCAAGCCTGTAATCCCAGCACTTTGGGAGGCTGAGATGGGCGGATCATGAGGTCAGGAGATCGAGGCCATCCTGGCTAACACGGTGAAACCCCGTCTCTACTAAAAAATACAAAAAACTAGCCAGGCGAGGTGGCGGGCGCCTGTAGTCCCAGCTACTCGGGAGGCTGAGGCAGGAGAATGGCGTAAATCCAGGAGACGGAGCTTGCAGTGAGCTGAGATCCGGCCACTGCACTCCAGCCTGGGTGACAAAGCGAGACTCCGTCTCAAAAAAAAAAAAGATCATTTGTTCAATGTCCCTTTTTCTCACTGCCAGGCCAGGGCTCTTGTCTGCACCATGGAACCCATTATGGCTTGAGCCTTTCCAGATCAATTCTCCATAAACCTAATGAGGACATTGGAAAGGTGAGCTGAGGTAAGTTCGTGAAGAAACTCTAATGGAGCCCTATGGAGTCTGGAGTTTTGATAGCATACTGGGGACAACGGGAAACCATTGACAGAGAAAAGCAGGACAGAGCCATGATGCATCATCCGTTCACTTATTACATTCAGTTAGCATATATTTATTGAGCATGTACTCTGTGCTAGGCTATGGGGATATACCATTGAACAAGATAGACAAGTTTCTCATCTTCATGTCTCCAGTGGGGAGACAGAAAATGAGCATGGTGAATAAATTAGAATGCACATCAGTTCACCGAATTAATAAGACTTTCCGTGGCGTGGGGTGGTGAGGGGCAAGAAATGAACAGGATGCTGTGATTCAGAACAAAAGACAGAATCGTCTTTAGAGAGCATAGCTTGAGAAAGTTTCTCTAAGGAAGTGATCTTTTAGATGAGCCTTTAAAAAATGGGAAGAACCCAGTCTTGTCAAGAGCGGGAGAAAGAGTGTTACAGTTCGGAGCAGGGCGAGGGGTGGGTGGGTGGCGGATGCAGTGAGTGCACAGGTCTTGTGGCTGCAAAGACTTTGGAGGACACTTGGAACTGAAGGAAGGTTGGTGTGAATGGAGTGCTAAGGAAAGTGTTATGAGCTCAGGAGGCAGAGGTGGGCAGATGTCATCATGCTTAGAGGCTACCATAGGTGAGAAATGACAGAGTCGTTAACCAAGTTGGTGCACAGATGGAGAGACATGGACCAATGTGAGTATATTTTGGATCGAGAACCGGCAAGTCTTGCTAATGGATTAAATGGTGGGTGCAGCGGCAGACAGAGAAGGAGGCAGTGATGTTTCCCACGTCTCTGGTTGGAGCTGTTATTTACTAAGATGGAGAAGCCTCGGAAGGTCGGACCAGGTTTGGGGGGGAAAACTAGATCAAGTTTGCACTGAGAAGGTTGGACTTGGGGAGGACAAGGTCAGTGCAGGGTGCTCTTCAGAAGCGAATCCAGTATTCCAGGTGAGAGATCATGATGAGGATGAGCTAAGGTGGTGAGGGGGGATGAAGGGAATACCCATGCCTCTGCTAAACAAGCCAAGAGAAGAGTTTCCCACTGCCTCAGATGCTCTGAATTTCATTTTGTGACACGGCTCAAGAGACCAACCAGAGGGAGGAGTTCGTTTTGGATAAGGTTGAAATGAAATCAACATATGGAGAGGAGTGGAGGCGAATGATGTGGAAAATGGGGTCACGAAAGACACCAGGCAGAGACTGCAGCAATGCAGTGTCTTCCACAGCTGGCTGTGTGACATGGGAGAGAGGAGTCTGGATTCACCATCTGTGCCAGGGAGAAAGCCGTCCTGGGAAACAGATGGCCGGCAGCCATGCCCACGCACCCTGGACGACCACGGGGTTTCCCTGGGGTTCTGCAGCCCGGGTGACTTTCTTGGGAGGTTTGGGACAGAGCATTCAGAGGCTGTGGGCATAGCAGGCTCTGGGATTTCTGCCCTTGATGCCACCGTTACCCAAACCCCTAGAGCAGGGTCCCAGATGGTGCAGCTGAGATGAGCTCTCCTTAGCCTCACTGTCCTCCAGCAGTGCCCCTTCCAGCCTCTGAGGTTAGCAAAAGCCAGTGGCTGGTGGCACTGACAGTGACCACTCAGTCAACCCTAGTCCCTGTCAGGATAGTCATCTTTTTCCTTCATTTGTTCTTTCATTCCTACATGCATTCAACAAATCCTGACTGAGTATCTGTGACTGCAGGCACTGTCCCAGGCCCTGCCCTCGAGAAAAGGCAGATCGAGAATTGGACAATGTGGGCTACCAAGCCCTCTCCTTCCTTTCTTCCTCATCCTGTCACTCCTTCCGGCCTTGAGGCCCAGAGCTGACCCGAATCCTCACCCAGGACCCATTCCAGCCCCTGGTCCGGGCACTGCTGATTCTGATTTAAGTCCATTTCTTAATTTTATTTCATGAGACTAAAATGTCATCAGAAATCAGGTTGTAAAGGACACTGAATATTTTTCTGAGTTTGGGCTTTATTCTGAGTATTTGTTTAAGTATTTTAGGCAAGAGAGTGACATTAGATTTCCATTTGCAAGACACCTGCAGCAATGAGGAGGAAGGATGGGAGGCAGGGAGAGAGGGATGGCACGATGGGAGGCAGGAAACCAGTTTGGAGGCCTTTGGACTTGTCCAGATGAGAGGTGACAAGGGCTCCTTGCCATGTCCCCACCCCCGCCCCCAACCCCATCACATCAAAGCTACTCTCAGAAAAGAACTCACGAATCCTGTGAGCTGTGGAAGGGCTCACCCCAGTGGAGGCACCTGTGTACATATTTGAAGTTAAACCAACATTCGGCATCTTTTATTTCTCAGACACCTTCATGTACAATGAATCCCCTCCAAGCAGCATTGTCAGGAAAAAATACTCTCCATCTCTCTCTTTTAGAGATGAAGAAACTGAGACTTAGCTCTAAGCACCCCTAAATTTGAATCCTGGCTCCACCACCTGTCCAGGTGTAGAAAGTTCCACTGTGGACAGACTGCGGGACCTGCATGGTTGCCGTGAGCAAAACCTGATCTGGAAGAGTTGTATCTAATGGGCCCTAATGGTGGCATGTCAGAAGCACCGAGGAGACCCTGGGGGCTTCTGCAGCTGGGCCTGGGGAGCATATTGAACGGGCGCCCTGGGTGGGCCTGCCCTGCCTGCTCTGTCTTCTGCCTTCTCTGCCTATGTTGCCCAGGGCCTGAGCGGGAGAGTTCTGTAGGTGAAGGGGCCTGGGCCTGAGGGCTTCTTTTGCAGGAAGCTTCTCCCCTTGCAGGATTCTAGGAGAGGCCTGCCCACTACCCCACCTTCCCCCAGCTTTCCTGGTCTTTGTTCCGATTTTAGGCCAGAGTGGGACGATAAGGAGGACGACTGCGCCATCTGCTGGGCATCTCAGGCAAGCTCCAGCTGTGCCCAGGTGAGTTTGGCTTTTGCGCATGAGAACCTTGGGTCACCAAACGGGCTCTGGCCCCTTGACTGATGATCTGTTTTATAGAAGTAGCCCCAGGGATACACTACAGTCAGCTGCTGCCAGGAAACTCTCGGTACCCACAGAAGCTGCCCATTATCTGTGCGCTCAGGTGTGGGGAACAGAAAGGTGAACAGGGTGTGGGGGAAAGCACAGACACAGACTATTAAAATGCAGTGTGCCGAGAAATGACGGAGAAAACGCAGGTGGAGAAGACAGGCCAGTTAATTTGACTTCCTGGGTCCCTGTTAGGTGCTGCTCCTGAACTCAGAAGCATGAATTGGAATTAGGGAAGGATTAAGGGAAGGCCTTCCAGAGAGACGGCATGGCAGGGCAAAGCCCTGGTGACCGTGCGGCCACCTCTGCTCAGGCCCAGGGCTACTGCCTCTTTCCTGCCCTCCTCCAGCAGTTGGAGACTTTGCTGACCCTTTGGAAGTGCTGGTCCCTGAACTCTGCAGTGGCAGGAGCTCAGAAGGTCCACATCTGCCCCTTCACTTACCACCTCAGCAGCAGCTCCTTCCTACCCTCACCCAGAGTTCCCAATCCCTACCTCTTCCTACCCAAGCCAAACAGTGTGGCTGGGAGACTGCTATGAACCAATCTCCCACACTCACAGCCTCAGAAATCAATGCTGGAGAATGAAAGAAAGGTGGAGAATGATGAAATCACCTAGTTGGTGAATTAGGGCCCAGCTGAGGTCGATTTAGGAAGAGCAATTCTAGTGAGCGTGAGTTCTGTCAGTCTGCCATTATATTGCATTCAATCTAATTCAGGCATGGTTTACTACACAGGTCAAATCCTGCGAGTTTGTGGAAGAAGTGGGATGCAAAGGGACATTTACGGGGCAATCTACTGTGTGCCAGACACAGTGGAAGCTATCATGGATATCAAGTGAATGAGACATGGTCTCTGTCCTCAAGAAGCACCCACATCACCACCCGGTCCTCCCCACCACCGCACAGTTCCTTTCTGTTCTTTTCTCTTCCTGCAGAAAACCTGCTTCCGGGAAAGTAACTGATAAATTAAGCCACACTGAGCTGTAGTCAGTTGAGTGGGTGTTTATGACAGTACCTGTGAATTGTCTCTATCTGCTCTATTTCAGTAAAATCAAGAAACCCACTGGCTTATTCTCCTGCCCTCCCCCACCCCAACGTGTTAGCTACACACAAGACCACCCAGCAGAGACTGTATTTCCCAACCTATCTTGCAGCTAAGTATAGATTATGTGATGGAGGCCAGTGGGACATGAGTGAAAATAATGTGGCGATTTCTGGGGTATACCCTCCTCCTCCTCCTCGTCTTCCCCTTCCCCCTTCCCATGGCTGGGATATAGACTTGGAGGGTGATGGCGCACAGGCTTTGCTCACAGCAATGAGGGTGGTACCTGGTGGTTGGTGAAACAAGAGGGAAGGATTCCGAGTCTATGAACCAGAGCAGAACCATCCTACTCGCTCAAAGCTCCTACCAGCTCAGACTTTTACATAGAGAGAAACTTCTAAATTCTTTAATCCACAGAAGCTGGGCTTTTGTTAAAGCAGCCAAATCAATATCCTAATACAGTGGCTCTTGCTCCCTGATGTTTAATAAGCAAATAAGCAAAAATATCTTGAGCAAGAGCTTTATCAGAGTTCCTGAAATTCTAACCAGAGGCCATCCCCTGAGCTGGGGATCCAGCATGTGTATAACAATGACCCCATGCCCTCTGATACCCAAAAGCATCTCTCAACTAATTTATCATTCAGTTTGTTGGGACAGTATTGTATTTTACTGTGTGGTATGTGTCTTAGGTCATATGGCTAGTTCAACATTGATAACAATAGCCAAGAAAGTTCCATTCTTCAGCCTGTGGGTCTATGCAGTTCACTGTAAATTTATGGGATGCATTACTGAAGGAGTTATCTTATCTCTACTTACAGATGAGACCTAAAAGCCCATTAGAGACTTTCCCAAGGGCCTGGGGCTAATAGAAACTCAGCCTCTCAAACTTACCTTTAAGAACTCTTGACACTTCCCCAAATAAAGGACCATTCCCTCTCCTTAGAGATTAGGGTCCTCTGACAACAACCAGGGAATACTATTAGAAAATATTCTTTATTTTTTCTTGAAGTACTTGTAAAAAGGACGATTAAATCACAAAAATGTGAGCACCAAAGACAGAAGGAAGTTGTGTAAAGGTCAACATTATGCTGGTAAGAGCATGTTCAGGAACGATCAATATTTGGAAGCCAATGGTCACAGGTTGGCAATTGTTCTTGTAAATGTTCAACCACTGGAAAACTTTCAAAATGCTAGGTAGCCAATGGTTTCTAGATTAAAGTATTAAAACAAATAATAATTTTTTAGAAAACTATCATTTCTGATAACATCTCAGCTTACTGAACAAAGTAACGGAGAGCCTCTCGCACCACGCTGGACTCGTTTCCTGGAAATTTGTAAATACCAGACCACAGAGCTTGACTAATGACTATTGGACATGGTGCCCACTGTGTGTATTTAGATAACTGGCTTGTGTGGGAAGAACCCAAATGTCTGGTCCTCATGCCAATTTGTCTTTGGACCTAAAAATGACCAGAAAAGGGAGGCAAAGGAAAATGACCATGATCTGGATGGAGATGGTGAGGCAGGACTGATGGTGGAGTGAGCCGAAAGTTGCCAAATTAAAGGGAAATTTAGGTGATCTGTAAAGAATCATGAGTTTTCTCTTCCCCAGGTTGAGGCAGGAATGGAGAAACCACAGGCTTTTGAGTTGAAAGCCCCAGATACAAGTTCCAGCTCAGCCCCGGACTACTTTGAGCTGACTTCTCCTCAGTAAAATGCACAAATACTTGTGAATGGATGCTCCAATAACCTGAGAAGGTTGTGTGAAGAGGTAAGATGGTATCTAAGGAAACGTTTCAAGTGCCCTCATGTGCCACACAGATGAGGAGATTTATCATTATATCATGAGAAAAAAGCTGAAATTGGATGTCAGGGCATGTATTATTACAATTCTTTTTTATTTTTATTTTGAGACAGAGTCTCACTCTGTTACCTAGGCTGGAGAGCAGTGGTGCGATCTCAGCTCACTGCCACCTTGATCAAGCTCAAGCAATCCTCCCACCTCAGCCTCCTGAGTAGCTGGGACTGCAGGCACACACCACCATGCCCAGCTGATGTTTGTATTTTACGCAGAGGCAGAGTTTCACCATGTTGCCCAGGCCAGTCTCAAACTCTTGGCCTCAAGTGATCTGCCCGCCTTGGTATCCCAAAATGTTGGGATTGCAGGCACAAGCCACTGCGCTCGGCCACAATTCTTTTGAACAATTCTTCTTCCTTTTGCTTAAGCAAAAGAGGAATCTTTTGGTTCCAATGACAGTTGTCAGTAGTCATCAGGACTAATCACAAATATCCCGCTTCTCTTCCGTCCTGGCACATGGTAGGATTCAGCTTCTCTGCTCTTTCATGGTTAGATGTGCCCACATGATTTGACTGGTACTTCTGGGCAGCAGCTTTAAGATCACAGGTACAATTTGCCATAGTCCCTTTCCCTGCCTTGGTGATTGTGGAGGCATGTGTTGAGATGAAGCTTCCATCATCTTAGGCCCTTAGTGATTACAGTGAGCAGAATACCCACCCTTCTCCTCCAACCTGCAGTGAATGTACAGCATTGGCAAAGAAACTTGAGTTGTGTAAAAAGCCACGACAACCTTGGGATTGTTTGTTACTGCAGCATAACCTTGTATTGAGTATATGTTCTTATTTTCTGTATTCTTCATGCTCTAGCATTTGGGTCGTTGATCCAAAGAAGCCGCCCCATCCAGGGCTAGCAAATTCCTAGAGAGAGACAGAGACAGAGAGAGAGAGAGAGGTAGAGAGAGAGAGAGAGAGAGAGCGAGCGCACACAAACAATTCTCCTGGGAGCATGCCTTTGATGTACAAACCAACTAATCCAGAGCCCACACTCCCAACCATCTTCTTCTTTTTAAAACCAAACTTTCACATGCCAAGCCAATATTCCCCTTGCCCTAAGTCACCCTAGGGCCAGACGACTAGGTACCATCCCTATGGCCCTGAACCCACCCAAATTATTCAAACTATCCAACCCTAAACTTAGTGAGCATATATACCTTGTCTTAACCATTCCTTCCTATGAAAACCCCAATAAAGGCTTGGGGCCATGCTCTCCCCTCTCCCTGCCTCCTGACCAACACTTATCCTTCTGAACCACGTGGCCCCGTGTGCCACACCTCCTGCTTCTAGACTCTATGAGCACAAACTTCTTCCTTCATGATAATCATTTCCATGTCTCTGTGCCTTATGTCTTAACATTCCTGATTAAAACAAATCCTGAGAACACCTGGCACAGTGAGCAGGGTGGTTTGATGCCAGATGGAGATGGAATGTCCTTAGACTGATCTTGATTTGCTACCTGGACCCAACAGACAGCAGCCACTGCTTAGCAAGGCACAGCTGGGAGTAGAGTGCTCAGACTTCCTGCTTGATGGCTACTGCATTGGGTTGTGTTTTTTGTCAGGTGTTGCCATTATTTCCCAGCTTGAAATTGTGATGCTCGAGAAGCTGAGTCCCGGAGCTGCCTCATAGGCTGGTGTCATGTGTCTGGGACTAACCTATTTCTCCACGGTGGTGGAGCACCCAGGATTCAGGACAGAGTGCCTGGGGTTATATAAGTAATTGGCTACATTTGTTTCTCAAAAGGTCCCTCTGAAGGGGACCAGGAGTGACTGGCTACCCTCTTTATGCCAAGGGACAAGTCTGATCCACTGACTGAGGATCACTGACAACACTGGGGTCATGAGAGTCATTTAGATGAAAGTGCCTAGTGTCTAGGATGTGATAGCTCCTGAGGACACTCATAAACCACTTTCCCTTTTCCCTCTGGGCTTTGCTGAGTCAAATTTCAGCCTCTTCCTTGGAGTACTGCGAGAGCACTTCTCTGAATGCTTGCTCCTTGCTCGCGCATGTGTTGAGGGCCATTCATGGGGTCAGTGTGAAGGGCTCCTCCAGGGATTACGGCATCCCACAAATGTTCAGATCACACACTTCTCTGCTGTCTGCTTGCTGCTGTCACGATTTATTTCCCAACCCAGGGGTAAATAAGAAGTCCCCTTCCTAGAGACAAGTGACTCAACTTAATCATCTGTTTCCAACTTCCCCAAAAGCCCCAAAAAGATGGTCCTTCCCCACGTGGCCCTATGTGGCATGCCATGCCTCCTGTTTCTAGGGTTTTGTGAGCACAGACTTCTTCCTCATGACAACCACCTCTGTGCCTGTGAGTCTTACCATTCCTGATTAAAACAAATCCTGGGTACACCTTAACACAAGCCTGGTCCGTCCTGATGAATACACAAGGAGGAAGAGTGGGATTGGCATCAGGCACCGAGATTTTCTCATCTTCTTCCCAACCTCTGGGGTCTAGATGGCCTCTCCAACTGCAGACAGGCTTTCGGTGTGCAGGAAGATGGACCCCATCATCACTGGCCTGGCTGTCAGAGCCTGGAGGCAGAAGGTGGTCTCTATTGGTTACAGCATAGAAAGCCCCAGGGACAGACTCAGATTGGCTGATTGGAATCATGAACATTCATGAGACGATCCCTGTGGCACATGCATTTGATCAGGATTGAGGCAGATGCTGACCCCTGTTGGTGGGTGGGTAGGTGGGATGTGTTGGGCAAGCCAGCACAGGCACCAGTGAGATTGATCACTGTCCTTTTGTGGATGGAGTTTGGACATCCAAACCTTGCCACTCCCTGAGGAAGGGACAGTTTGTATACAGCTGCTTCATAACACAAAGTACTACTGGGAAACCAGACAAGCAGTGAATGAGCCAACTTCCTTTGAGATCAACAGATACAGCCCGGAGGCCCTTCTGAGATAGGGCCAGGCCAACCAGAAATACGGTATCTACAAACAATCCATCATCACTACAGAGGAAAACAAATGCCTTAAATGAACACATGAGGTGAAGGGTAGCAAACATGTATTGACTTTTCCAATTATTTATCAAATGCCCTCTGTGTCACGTACCCAGATGGCTCTATTTGGACAGATCTGGCTAAAGGAAATGTCCAACTGCCCAGACACCTCTACTGGGCTTCTTGCTTCAAGTGTTTCTTATGGATGCCCATGGGAGGCCAAGAGAAAGGTATATGAGATCTCTCTCTGCAGGTCATGGGGAATGGAAGGAAAGGAGAGGGGTAAATTTGTGACAAGGGTGAGCTCAACTGGAAGGTACAACCAGGGGCTCTCAACTTGGAAGTAGTGGGCTGACTTCTGGGGTCCATGACCTCTTGTCATTGCATGCAAAAAACTGAATGTTCACTTCCTATAGCAGATAAAGAAGAGCTTGGAATTTTTTTCCCTTGACCTTCCTAGTATCTCACTGGGTAGGCAGAGGTAAGATCTCTCATTTGTACTTCAGTTTCAACATTTTCCAAATGGCGCTAGTCACAGAATTCCATGTTCCTTGCAAAGTCATGTGTTGTAGAGAGGCTAGAGAAATAGGTGTCTACCTCTTAATGACCAGCAGATGACTCAACCTCAATGAGCTGGTTTCCTGGTCAATAAAGGGAGGATAAGAGTATTAATTCCTACACCAACTCTGTTATAGTAGATGAGACAATAAATGCACCAAGCTTTCTACTCTCATCCATTAATAATCAAAGCCTTTCCTATTAGTTGTAACAGTACTAAGTGTTTTCAGGTGCATTATATCATTTAATTTTCACAAAAGTCCTATCAAGTAGGTACTACTACTATACTCATTTAATTTAGGAAAAAAGTACAAAGTGGGTGAAAATTGAGATTTAGAGGTCAAGCACCTTACCACTGAGAAGCAGAGCTGGCTTCTGACCTTGGCTGCCAGACTCCTGAGAGCATATTCTTAATCTGAGGATTTACCTCCTCCATTCACTCAGTACACAAACTAGCAGAGAAGCTGCCAAAGCAAAGCACTCAAACAGCAGGCTGCAAGCTGTTGCCATGGGGATGATCTGGAGAGGGAAGGGAGATCTTCACGCATGGAGTCCCTGTGAAGCGTGAGGCACATGACAGAGATGATCTCATGTGGTTAAACTCGAAGGAGTGCCTTCATCATAGCTCTTGTAACAAGCACATATTGATGATTAGCCTTGCTTCCTTTTGTTCTATGTAACAGGTGAAAACACAGAAGGCGGTTGAGATTCATTTGCCTGATTTCATGTCACATCATGGGTCAAGGGCTTAGCTGGGAATTAGGAAGTGGGGATCATCTTCAAAAACTAGAGAAAGTACTGGCTAAAGGCCATAACTTGGGGACAAAAGAAGCTACAAAAATCATGAAAGTTTAGAACTGTTGTTTATTTCCAATTATTCCCACTTCTTCACCTAGGAGTGGCTGCATCAGATGAAGGAAGAGGGCCCTGGTTTCATGAAGAAGCGAATTAGTACCCATTTCAGACTTCCTGCACTGAAGAGGGGTTCCGGTGTGGTGGAGGGAGCTCAGGAAACACTCTCGATGGACCATGCTCTGTGGGCTCTGCCTGACTTCCCTGACAGAGGAGCAGGAACTGCTGGCATCTCTCACCTGATTCCCTTTGTGTGTTCTGGGATTGGAAATGAACTAATTAGAGCTAATGTTGGAAATAAATGTATTGGATAAACTGCATGATTTGGGCCTGAATTTCCCAAACAGCTATGCAGAGGCAGCTGACGACGCAAATGTTCCCTCACCCTGCCATGGTGGGAATTCAGTTGCATTCAGGAGCTTTTCAAAGATGGGGGCTTCTGCTCTCCAGCTTCAGAAAGAGAAAGAAGATGAGTGAGGAGAACAGCGGGGGATCTGGCTGCTTCTTCCCAATCCAGCTGTAACTTCTGGATGGCAGTAGCCCCCTGCTGTCCCCACCATCCTGCCTGTTGTCAGCTGCAGCTGCGAGGGCAGCCTGCATGTGGGGAGACATTTATCGCTCATGAGCAGCTGGGTCACGGCAGTGGCCCTGGCAGCTGGCTGGATCATTTACTGGCCACGGCAGAGAGTTGGTCTCGGATGCGGCCCAGGCCATCTAACATGGTGTCCAGTGTTTCTTTGCTCAGCTCCACGGTGACAGCTGAGATGGAGGGTTTGTCTCCACATAGGCTGGGATCTTCCTGGATCTGAAAAGAGAACATAGCCCAGGAAGTCAAAGCTGCTTCTTTTCCTATCTCCCTGTAAGTCAGCCCTGAACCTGCGAGGCTGAGCTCAGTTCTGCTGAACCTTTGAAGAGAGGCTCTTTCCTAAGCACTAGAGAGTACCAGCCCTTGGGTCATTTAGCAGTAAGGGAGAGGGCTGGAGATGCCTCAGAGGCCGGGGTCAGTCTCCATTTGCAACAAGTGCCTGGGGTAGGTATCAAAGAAGGCCAAGCCAAGGCCCACTCACCTCTCTGATACCCTAACTCTCAGCATTCAAGTAAGAAAACATTATGTGTGTTTACATTGTATTTAAGGAGCAAGCTCTGTTGAATAATTAAGACAATCCTGCACTGGGATGCAGGAACAAGCTTACAACCTTTAGTTTAAAAAAAATAAAAGAAGTTAAGCTTCACTAATATTTAAAACTTAATTGCTAGAGGCACCCTTACTTCTTCATTTTCTTACAAGTGTTAAATTTCTGGGTGTCTGGTTATGTAGACCAGAAACTCTTTTTTTTTTTTTTTAAGATGGAGTCTCACTCTTTCACCAGGCGGGAGTGCAGTGGTGTGATCTCGGCTTACTGCAATCTCCACCTCCCGGGTTCAAGCAACTCTCCTCCCTCAGCCTCCTGAGTAGCTGGGACTACGGGCACCCGCCACCACGCCTGGTTAATTTTTGTATTTTTGGTAGAGAGGGGCTTTCACCATGTTGGCCAGGATGGTCTTGATCTCTTGACCTCATGATCCGCCCACCTCGGCCTCCCAAAGTGCTGGGATTACAGCCGTGAGCCACCGCGCCCGGCCACTAGTAGAAACTCTTGAGCAGCCACGTTACAAATAATGACAGCCTAATCACTGGATAAGAAGTTGGCTAGAGTACACTGAAATGATCAGGCAGGCTATTCAAAATCTGGAAGCCCACCACTATTGTTAAAGCTAAACTGCTAAGAGTCTATATAGGGTTACCTTTAGGTATCAGCAAATTATTTTAAAAATATATTTTGCATTTGTTTTGTTGTTTTAATATGTCCATAATATGTTAATACAGTAGTATACACACACAGTATAACTAAACAAAGGAGGATAAAGGGGATGGTAATTTTTAAAAACATATGGGTTAGAGATCCTAAACCTTGGAGACTGGTGTTTTAGACGGCCACAGGGGTGCTGCCTCTTCTTTCTAATGGCCTGATAGTGAATGTACCTTCATCTGGAGCAGGCAGGTGGGGACGGCCATGCGGCTGATGCTGTCTGAGGAGGTTTTGATATCCACTCTCCAGTCCAGATCGACCAGGCGTGGCAGAGAGACTGTGGAAGGAACAGCTCAGCTCAATGCTCTGTTGGTCTATGCAGCAAGTCTCTGAGAGAGACAGACAGACGAAGCCCAAGACCCACAGGAAGTCATGTGCCTTACCCATTGCTCTGTGCGGCCTGAACTTAGCACTAATTCACAGTGGCAGCATATCCAGCCTTCTTCCTGAACACCCAGCCCTTCGGATGTTAGGGCACAATGAGAAGTGACATAAGGCAGAGAAGAAATCATGGCCTGAGGCTTAGGAAACGTGTAGTTTCAGCAATAGTGGTAAGAGCTCTTGTTGTGGAGATAAATGGACTTGACTTGAATATAGGTGCTACCACTTATCTAACCTTGAGCTTCTGTTTGCTCATCAGCCTGGCTCACAGGGCTGTCGGGAGGACTCAATGACTTAACACAGACAAACTGCTCCAGCACTGTGGCTGGCTCAGAGTTAGTGTCATGACCACGTATTAAACATGGACTTTTATTCAGTCAAACTATTTTTGATCACTGTTGATTTTTTTCACAATTGAAATATTTTAAGTACTTCACTTTCTGCTTTGGATATTTCTGTTTTTTAACAACATGCCTATATAATCATGTTTATAATCAGAAAAAAGTTAAAAAGTAGAATTAGGAAAAAAAACCCCCACCATACACAGAGTATGGGTTGAGACTAGAATGGTTCACTTTGGTTTCTGTTGAACTCTCTGATCACCTGGGAGACTGAGAGCTGAGGCTGGGGAGACAAGTAAGAAGGGCGGGGCAGATTTCTTGGTACTCACTCTGATTTGCCTGGGCTTCGGTTCTCCAAGCAGACCTGTTTAAGAGGGAAAGATGAGGAAAAAATAATGGAAAGGGGATGAGACGGACTCTTCTGATAGAGAGGGGACCTTGGTCCTTCCTGCGATCTTCAGACCTGTCATCACCTGCTAACAGGAAAGGACCACAGAAACCCCTCCCTCCCAGAAAGTCTTTTGTTTATTTGTTTTACAAGCTCAGTGATGTTAAGGCCGTAAGTGTTGTCAGTTTTCATAGTTTAGGACAAAAAAGAAGAAAATACAATGTATTGTAATCTTATTGCGCTATTGTTCTCAAAGACAAAACAGAAAAAAGGTCAACTTATCTTCTCTTTATTGAGCACCTACTGCATACACAAATATTGCATCTTCTGCAAAAACACATCCAAAGAGACCTAATGCTGCAACATACATAATAAAATGTGATCATGTATGAGAGAGTTCTTAATATACAATAAAACCCTTGGTAAATAGGCATTATCAGTTATTGCTATTAGAGAGGTCTGTTCAAGCTTTCTGCTAACCAACAGTTAATCAATTCTGCTTAAAATGTACGTGTTTAAAAGGAACTTCCCAGGCAAGAAAATATACAGATACTTCACAAAAGAAAAAAAAAATCATCAATAACCATATGAAAAAGATAACTGACATCACTAGTGTCAAAGATGGGAACACTGAAATTGTCATTTGTGGAACTGGGAAAAATGTAAGAAAAAAATCCCCTCAGTGAAGGTGTAGGGAGAGGGTTACACTTGTATCCTACTACTGTGGAAAAATACTGCAATCTTTCTAATAGCCAACTTGAACATTTAAGGCCAAACCCTCAAAATGTCCATTACCTTTAACCCGGTAAAAAAATAAGCACACGAGCAAAGTTTTCACTGTAAATTGTTCACCGAAATGAAAAAGTGCCAATAGCCTCAGTATCCAACACTACGAAATTTTAAAATTAAATTATACATCATTTCTTCCTATAATAGGATATGTTTAACCATTACAATGATATTGAAGGTAAATATTGACCTGAAATGTCACTATCGTTCACACTGTTAACAGAAAATAAGCAAGTTACAAAATAGCATGATCCATTTGGTAAAAACAAAAACAAAACATCAACCTCTTATAGAGGTGTAAAGAGAAAAAAATAAACATGTCTTAAAAGGCTTTCCATTAAGAAAAGACTATGCTAACCTCTGGCTGGTGGAATTATAGGTGTCTTATTTTCTTTTTGCTTATCTGGGCTTCCTAATTTTTTTAACAATGAGCATATTATTACTTCTAGAATGAGAATAAAAATAAGAAATATAAAAGTTAGAAGGGACTTTCAAGAAATGAGCACTTACACATGTTCTAGGATGATCTTCGTCAGCAGGTTTTTGAGGTTTTGGTGGAAATTTTCTGGAAAGAGAGCCAGAATCGCCTCGGCAGAGGACAGGTCACGGAATGCCACCAGCCGAGTGAGGCGGTGCAGAGCCTGGAGCAGCTGCAAGATAGACGGAACCATCCTGTAGCTGCAACAGAAGCAGCAGGCAGGGGGCACAAGTGAGGGCCAGGGGTAGGGCTCTCCACCCCTAAGGCTGCACACTGTCACGGTCATTCAACTGAGTCACGAGTCCAGAGGCCTCTGTGGCACATGTTCATGCCCCACGTGCCTTGGCCTGCCTCGGAGTTCACCTGTTGCTTTAGAAGACAGATGCAGCTGCCTGACCTAGGAAGCTGTCAGCTTGCCAGAAACTCTCCACTTGTGGGCAAAGAGTTAATATAGCCCTTTTCCTTCTGCATGAGAATCTGACCTTCAGTTAACTTTCTGGTGCTGTTTCCCTGGTAACCTGAGAGCAGTGCAAAGTCAGCTGTGTTACTAAGCAACCCTGCATTGGTCCAAGCCTCTGGACTGAGAGGACTGCATAAATACCTAGGGTGCCTGTAGCTCCGGACTTGCCTATGTGTGGCTACAGGCTCCTTTTGAGAACCTGAGGCTGTCCTTACTGAACCGTGACACGAGATACTGGCGCCTGTGGAGTGAGGGCCTTGAATCCAGGGTGGTAGGATTCGTGTCCTTTCCTCTCAACTGTCGCCTAGGAGGGCAAAGAGAACAAACAGCTCCTGGCCGGCTGTGTGGGTTCCTACTGGGAAGAGGCGTGTCTGCCCGTCCTGCTAAAATGCTGTGTTCCCATCCTAGGTCCTTCTAAGTGAATCTGTAACTACGAAGTGTAAGAGTGGTTTATGGTGGTCTTGTGAATACAGTAATTCTTAGCTAACCTAAAAAAGCTCTCTGGAGGTAACTGTTTCTCTGCTTTGGGGCTTTCTCTGATATCACTGCAGATTACCTGACACAACCTGGAAGTGAAGGGAAGTTAACCTTCCACCAATGAGAGTGAGTGCTCATGGATAAATGGCCAAGCCTCTCTGTCCTCCTGGGGAACAATTCTGAGAGGTGTTCTACTTGGTTTCTTACAGGATCCCAAGTTTTCCACAGCAGTAACCGCTCTTAACATCCTCTTTTATTGACTTGCCATCCCTGTTTGATTTTCCCCACTGCTTTGTGTTTTCTAGAATCATCTCCTAAATAATCTACTTTGGGGGGAACCCAAAATAAGTCTCCAAATCACTTCCATAATCTTGCTTTTTCCTTTTACTTTTCTACAGCTCATTTCAATAAATAAGGTCCAGAATTAAAACAAAAAACAAAAACCATATGCCAGGTGCAGTGGTTCATGCCTATAATCCTAGCACTTTGGGAGGCTGAGGTGGGTGGATTGCTTGAGCTCAGGAGTTCGAGACCAGCCTGGGCAACATGGCAAAACCCTGTCTCTACAAAAAATACAAAAATTAGCCAGGCATGGTGGTACATGCCTGCAGTCCCAGCTACTCTAAGATGGGGGGACTGTTTGAGCCCGGGGGGTCGAGGCTACAGTGAGCCATTCTTTGCCCTCGGCTTGGGGAACAAAACAAGACCCTGTCTCAAAAATTAAAAAAAAATCCAAAAACATACGCCCATTGGGATGAAGAAACTGCTGTTTTAAAAACATATTTGCTGGCCGGGAGCGGTGGCTCACGCCTGTAATCCCAGCACTTTGGGAGGCTGAGGCGGGCGGATCACGAGGTCAGGAGATCGAGACCATCCTGGCTAACACAGTGAAACCCCTTCTGTACTAAAAATGCAAAAAAATTAGCCAGTCGTGGTGGCGGGCGCCTGTAGTCCCAGCTTTTTGGGAGGCTGAGGCAGGAGAATGGTGTGAACCTGGGAGGCGGAGCTTACAGTGAGCAGAGATTGCGCCACTGCACTCCAGCCTGGGCGAAAAGCGAGACTCCATCTCAAAACAAAACAAAACAAAACAAAAAAACATATTTGCCTTGACAAGATAAGGCTGTCGCTGCTACATAATAACTTACTACAAGTTAGCTTAATCTCCCTCTTGGCCACCTGCTGATATCAGATGAGCTGAGGAGAAGGGGACCTTCTGTGGGACAGAGGGCTAAGGAGGGAGTCAGAAACACAAAGCACCCCTCAGGAAGCCTGATGGAATCTAGCAGTGCATACTCCTGAATCTTACGCAGGCCTCAAAGCTTCTGTTCAAAGATCCCTGAAAAGTCTGTCCTAAGCTATCCAGCTAACAATTTATCAGCATCAGCACGTTACGGGTTGGAAAAGAAAATCACAGAAAGGTTGGCTTTTGTTCCACATTGTCTAGGTAACAGGTCTGAAAGAAAATGGTCAGGAGCTCTGATTCTGGGTACAGTTCTCCCATTCATGTCCCATTTATCAAAGTTTGCTATAGTGTCAACAGATGTTTCAAGGGATTTTCCTTGGACATGGCGATGACTGGGAAGTCAAGAAAGAGACTAATAAGAGGGCCAGTGGCCAAAGGTCATTTCTGACCACACTTACTTCCTCTGCCTCCTCCTGGGTCACAGACAAGCTGGAACATGTAATATCCAAGAGTTTTTTCGAGCCAAGGGCTGAACTGGAAAAGCTCTCTTGACACAGCTGTCTGACAACATCTTTTGAGGAGGCCTAAGAATTAAATCACAGATAGGAAAAAAAAAAAAAAAAAAAAAAAAACAAACCTCAGACTCTGAAAACACACATTTTGAGTAATAACATCTTAGTCATACATGATACCTTTGAGACTTAAAATTTAAAGATACATAAGACTTTGGATTCTAGGAAGATCAAATAGATGTACTTTTCCCTAATCTTTCTGCTAAGTACAACCAAAAACTCTGGACACGATGCAGAAAACATACATGAGACCCTGGAAGCGGGAGAGAAGGAGGCAGATCTGCTAGGGACCGCATAATACAAGGAATGACACAATGGTGAGTTCCCTGGATTTTTTTTTTGCTTCATATATCCCAGACTTTCAGCTGAAGAAGAGGGCAATGTGGAAATGACAATGGATGCAGAGGGGAAAAAACGCCACAATAAATACCTGTTCTATCTAGCTAAAGGACCAATAAAGGGGCAGCCTCGCAAGACAGAACACTTTTAGATGACAACTGCTACACCCCAGCCAAATATCATTAAAAAAACTGCAGCCCGACCCACCTCTATGTCAACAAAGGCTGAGTGGGAGGCCTAGACCTGAGTGAGAAGACTTGTGAGGCTATAATGAGGTACGCCAACACTCCTGCTGGGGAGGTGTCAGAGAAGGTCAAGTAGGAAGCTGGGACCTTTATCCCCACCAGTTGGTAACAAGCCTCATCATTGTGTGATATCAGTGGAGACGACATGGAGTCAGAAATTCCACCCCTCCCCAGTGGTAACAAGGAACCTCTGCTTTCAGGTATCAACAGAAGCTGAGTGGGGAACCTGGACTTAAACTTGCAACTGCTAGTAATGAGGTAGCACCTCCTTCCCCTGCCTAAGCAGTGCCACAGGAAGCCAGCTAAAACATAAAATTTAAATAAAATCCATTCTCAGAACGTAATATGAAAATGTCCAGGTTTTCACTGAAAATCATTCATCAAACCAAGAACTAGAAAGATCTCAAACTGAATGAAAAAAAGGTAATTAACAGATGTCAACACCAAGATGACAGATGTTAAAATTAGCTGATAAAGAATTTTAAGTAGCCAGGATAAATATGCTTCAACAAATAATTATGAACTTGCTTGAAACAATTTTTAAAATCACCTCAGCCAAGAAACAGAAGAGATAAAGAACAACAAAATGGAAATTTTAGAACTGAAAAATAAAATAACCAAAATAAAAAGCTCAATAGATGGGTTCAGCACCAAAATGGAAAGAATAGGGGAAACAATCAGTGAACCAGAAGCCAGAGCAATAGAAATTACCCAATCAGAAAAGCAGAGAAAAGAGACAAAATTATGAACAGAGCCTCAGGGACATGTGGGACCCTAACGAAAAACCTAACATTCATATCGCTGGAGTCCTGGAAGGAGATGAAAAAAGAGGGCAAGACTGAAAGAATATTCAAAGAAATAATACCTGAAAACTTCCCAAGTTTACTTAGAGACATACTCCTATATATTTCAAGAACCTGAGTGAACCCTAAACAGGATAAATCCAAAGAAATTCACACTAGGACATATAATTGAACTTCAAAAATGAAAGACAAAAAAAATCTTTCAAGCAGAGAAAAATGATACCTTACCAATTAAAAAAACAATTAGAATGAAAGCAGATTTTGTATCAGAAACCATGGACACAAGAAAGAAGTGACAATATTTTTCAGGTGCTGAAACAGAAAAAAAACTGTCAACCTGGAATCCTACACCCAGCAAAAATATCCTTCAGGAATGAAGAGGAAATTGAGACATTCTCAGATGAAGAAAAACTGAGAATATCTGTCACAAGATCTGCTGTAAAAGAACAGTTAAAACAAATTCTCTAAACAGTAAGGAAGCAATGAAACAAGAAACCGTGGAACACCAGTGTGCTAGCCAGAGCTCTCCAGAGAGACAAAACCGACAGGGTATGTGAGAGGGGATTTATTGGGGGGAAATGGGTCACATGATCACAGAGACAAAGCCCCACAATAGGCCATCTGCAAGCTGGAGGAAGCTGGCAGCTTGGCTCAGTCAAAGTCTGGCAACCTCAGAACCAGGCAAGCTGATGGTACAGCCCCTAGTTTGAGGCCAAAAGACTGAGAGCCACTGGGAGGCCACCGGTGCAAGCCCCAGAGTCCAAAAAATGAAGAACCCAGAGTCTGATGCCCAAGGGAAGAGGAGAAAAGGCATCTTACTTTAGAAGGAAGGGAGAGAACAGAAAGAAAGGGAATCCCCCATCTTCCACCTGTTTGGCCCAGTTGGGTCCCCAGCCAGTGGGATGGTACCTGCCCACATTGAGGCAGGTCTTCCTCTCTCAGTCCACTGACTCACACATCAGTTTCCTCTGGCAACACCCTCACAGACACACTCAGAAACAGTGCTTAAACAACCATCTAGGCATCCCTCAATCAAGTTGACACCTAAAATAAACCATCACAATCAGGAAGACAGAACAGGGCAAACAAAAACATGGAATTCAAAAGAAGTGAAGTAATGAAGAGTGTGTTCTATGTGACCACAATGGAATCGAACTAGAAAGCAATAGCAGAAAAGTAACAGAAAAATATCTGAACACTTACAAACTTAAACTTCTAAATAATTCATATGTCAAAGGGGAAGTCTGAGGGATATTTTAAAAATTACACTAAGTGAAAATGAAAACACACCATATCAACATTTGTGGGACGCAGCCTAGCAAGTAGTGAGAGGAAATTTTATAGTATTAAATGCATATACTAGAAAAGAGGAAAAGTCTCAAATCAATAATCTAAGCTCCCACCTCAAGAACCTATAAAAAGGAAAGCATAATAAACCCGAAGGAAGCAGTGGAAGTAACAATGATAAGAGAAGAAACCAATTGAAATTGAAAATAGAGAAATCAATGAAACAAACAGCTGGTTCTTTGACAATGTCAATAAAAATCGACAAACCTTTAGCAAGACCGACAAAGTTAAGAGGGGAGACACAAATTACCAGTATTAGGAATGAAATAGAGGATATTACCACAGATCCCGCAGACATCAAAAAGATAAGGGGAACTTAATGAACAATTCTATAAACATAAATTTGCCAGTTTAAATAAAATGGGCCAATTCCTCAAATAACACAAACTACTTCCACTCCCCTTCTATAAAATTGATCACTTGAATTGATCATTTGAATTAATATGACTACTAAGAAAATTAAATTCACAATTTTAAGGCCCCTAAAAAAATTTCTAGGCCCAGATAGTTTGGAGAATTCTAACAAACATTTAAGAAAAGAATGAACTGATTCTACACAATCTCCTCTAGAAAAACAGAAGACAATGGAGTACTCTCTAAATGATTTTATACAGCTACAAAGCTAGCATTACCCTGATACCAAAACCGCACAAAATTGTACAGAAAAATAAGAAAACTACAGACCAATATCCCTCATAAAAATAGACGCGAAAATTCCTAGCAAAATATTGGCAAATAGAGATGAGTTATATATATATTATATATATAAAATAAAATATTACATATATAATTATATATATAAAATATTTTATTATCAAATACAGACATATAATTATATATTTATATATTATATTATATGTTTATATAATTATATGTAATATATAATTATACACTATGACCAGGTGGGATTTATTCCAGTTGCAAGGCTGGTTCAATGTTTGCAAATCTATGTAATCCACCGCATTAACTAAGAAAATCACATGATATAAATCAATGCAGAGAAAGCATCTGACAAAATTAAACATCCATTCTTGATAAAAACCCTCAGAAAAATAGGAATAGAAGAGAACTTCCTTATCTTGATAAACAGTATCTACAAAAAACCTACAGTGAACATTATACTTAATGGTGAAAGACAGAATGCTTTGCTCCCAAAACCGAGAACAAGGCAAGATACCTGCTTTCTCCACTCTGAATCAACACAGTGCTGAAAATTCTAGCCGCTAAAATAAGGCAAGAAAAGGAAATAAAATGTGTGCAGATCAGAAAGGAAGAAATAAAACTGTCTCTACATCCCAAGAAATATACCAAAAACTCCTAGAAACAGTGAGTTTAGCAAGTTTGCATGTAGGATATAAACATACATAAATCAGTTGTATTTCATATATTAGCAATGAACACGTGGACACTAAAATTAAAAATATGGGCTGGGCGTGGTGGCTCACATCTATAATCCCAGCACTTTGGGAGGCCAAGGCCGGTGGATCACTTTTGGCCAGCAGTTCAAGACCAGCCTGGCCAGCGTGATGAAACCCTGTCTCTACTAAAAATACAAAAAGAAAAAAAAATCAGCCTGGAGTGGTGGCAGGCACCCGTAGTCCTAGCTAGCCGGTAGACTGAGGCATGAGAATCGCTTGAACACAGGAGGCGGAGGTTGCAGTGAGCTGAGATCACACCACTGAACTGTAGCCTGGGCCACAGAGCGAGACTCAAAACAAACAAACAAACAAACAAAAAACCCAAAACCATTTGCAATTGCTCAAAAAATGAAATACAGGATGTGTATGCTGAAAACTACACAATACAACACTGTTGTACAATCATTACATGGAGTACTACTCAGCAATAAAAAGGAAAGAACGACTGATACAACATGGATGAAAATTAGGCTGAGTGAAAAAAGTCAATCTCAGAAGGTTACTTACTGCATTATTCCATTTATATGGCATTCTTGAAATGACAAAATTAGAGAAATGAATAATTCCAAAGGTTAAGGAGGGTGTGGCTATTCATGAGGAATATTTGTGGTGGCGAAAATGTTTTGTATTTTGACTGTCAATGTCAATACTTTTGACATTAGGTACTGACATCCCATTTATCCTTTACCCAATTTCCCCTATGCAGAACTATACATAATAGTAAGTATACTATATATGTATACTATATACACACTATATTATATAGTATGTATACTATATATTATATACATACTATACATAATAGTATGTATACTATATTATATACAGTTCTGCAGAATCCGGCAGAACTGGGAGAAATTGAGTAAAGGATAAATGGGATCTCTCTATATTATTTCTTACAACTACATATGAATTTATAATTATCTCACAATAAAAAGTCTAAGTATTTTTTTTAAAAAAAAGAAAAGAAAGTACATAGGACAGTAGCAATGAAAATCAATGAACTACTGCTACATAATGGTGAGCAAAAGCAGCCAGGCATTAAAAAAAAGTATATGCTGTATTATTCCATTTATGTAAAGTTCAAACATGGGCAATATTAAACGAATTGTATCAGAAGCAAACATGGAGTTTACTGTTGGGGAAGAAAGTGAGGAAGCAAAGAAGGGGCGAAAGGGGGACTTCTGGGGTACTGGTAACATTTCATTTTTTGACTTTGGTGGTGGTTACACTGGTGTGTAATAAATCATTTAACTGTAAATTTATTATTTATGCACTTTTCTGTATGTATACTATGCATTAATCTTTTAAAGTTTTTAAAAGAAAAGAGTGCATAAGACCAACAGGCATAGGGACGGGGGTAAGTACACAGCAGCCAAAATGAAGGTGAAAAGGCACTGGGCTGGGAGCTGAGAGCCCTAGATTTCCAGTCCCAGCTCTGTTACTTCATTTATTAATTCACTTAACAGCTATTTACTGAGCATGTGCTGTGTGTCAGGTATTATTGTTCTACTTGTTGCGCATTAACACTTGTGAACCAAATAATAGATAGGAGTGGAGAATGCTAATGAACACTAAGAAGGCAATTAAAAAATAAATAAGTAAAACAAAACAGACTATTACATGAACTGATGATTATGATGTGTCATAAATTGAGGAGGGTAACTCAACCCTCTTCACCTGGTGTTTAAAAAAAAAAAAAGAGAGAGAGAGAGAGGAAGAAAGGAAAGGTCCCTGATGGATCTTACATTCTTATGAGACAGACAGACAACAGGCAAATAGCTAGCGACAAGTTCTACGAAGGAAAATAAAGCTGCCCTTTCTCCTACAGGACAAATCATAAGTTAAATAATTCTGGCTAGGCGCGGTGGCTCAAGCCTGTAATCCCAGCACTTTGGGAGGCCAAGGCGAGTAGATCATAAGGTCAGGAGTTCAAGACCAGCCTAGCCAAGATGGTGAAACCCCGTCTCTACTAAAAATACAAAAATTAGCTGGGATTGGTGGCCAGCGCCTGTAATCCCAGCTACTCGGGAGGCTGAGGCATAGAATTGCTTGAACCCGGGGGGCGGAGGTTGCAGTGGGCCGAGATTGCGCCACTACACTCTAGCCTGGGCAACAGAGAGAGACTCCGTCTCAATAACAACAATAATAATATTTAATAATATTGTTTAATAATATATTTATATATAATTATAATTAATATATATTATAAATATAATTATTTAATAATAATAATATTATCATTACATCATTTGAGTTTTACAAAGCCCTATTAAGTAGGTCCATTTCAACCTCACAACTTTTCAAATGATTATCAGGAGAGGGTCCCGCCCCTTTCACAGGTCAAAGCGAGTAGGGAAAATCTGGACCTCAGGGGAACACTGAACGCATAGGTCATTCGGAGGGCTGGGCGGATGTAGTAGGAGATAATTTCTTAATTATGGAGTGCAGGAGGGGCTACGGGATAAAATGGGGAACTGGTAACGTGGGTCTAGCAATTACCACTCCAATGCCCCAATACCGAAAACCAATCCCAGAGACTAACAGCAGGAGGTTGTACTGCGCCTTCATGCCCATTATTTTATTTTATTTTTTATCTTACGTTCCTGTCAAAACGATATTTTGTTCTTTCTTTTTAAAAGCTCAGAAAGAAGCCACGATTTGCCTGGGATCACACAGAGAACAAGCAGCAGAATTCTGGCTCTACACCAGGGTCAATTTGTTCCCAATTCCTGCTCCGTCTAAAGTCTCGGAGACAAAGGGCCACCTCACGCTGTCCCCACCCCTTCGATTTACCTTGAGTAGGCTCTGGAGCGCTGCAAAATGCTCCGCTGTCAGGGCAGCCATCTTCCCGAAGTCACATGACCACGGCACCCAGTGAAGCGAGGTCACGTGGCTTTCGCTGGCTGCTGTCGCGGGGCCTGCCGGGGGCTTCGGGGTGGAGGAAGGCGTTTCGGTTGTGGTGCTGCGGCCGTGGAGCGCGGATCCAGACGGACGCGGCGGCTGGATGGCTAAACCCTGGGACTGTAGGACCGAAGGACTAGGGGAACCAGGGTGGAGGATGGTTTACTCGGGGGCGAAATTGGCTTGACTTTACTTACCAGGTCAGGGAAACAGGTTTTCCCTTGACTCATGTGGGTGGGCTGGCACATTTGGGGAATGCACCTGCAAGCTTGTCAGGCGCCTTGGAAACGTAGCTGTTCAGGAGTGATCAGCGTACCAGTGTTTGGAATGAAAATGAGAGTGTGCATATGGGGCTTCTTGGAATTTACACACACACACACACCCTGTCTTTAAGAATGTAAAATTACTTCTGCGTGTATAGTTTTTCAGCCTATAGAGTAGGTTGGAGCTGGTATTATTAGTATTATCCAGATTGGGAAATAATCATTTAGGGTTTTTAGTAACTTTCCCATAGTCATAGAGGAGATCTGATTCCAAGAGCAGGTGAGGAAGTGTTTGGGAGAGGGGACAAGAGAGGAATGGAATGAAAGCTACTACCTAGCTAGGTTCTTGTTATACAGGGGTGAGATGGGGGAGGTGGTTTATGGAAATGATTTAATTCATTTATTCAGAAAGGTAATTACAATGAGTATAATTGTAAAGAGTGATTTTGCATAGGCAGTACTGGACTCTGATTTGCCCAGTTCTCAGAGGCTGTACATCAAAACAGACATTTCCTTTATCTACCTTTAGTATTTGGGTGGCTCTTTTCTTTTCCTACCCTCCACTTTTTTAAAGCAAATTCCAGCTCAAAAAAAATGGGTTCTGATATATTCGAGCTTAAGAAAGAATGTCCATTTATGAAATTCCAGAAATTGGTAAGCTGCTAAGGACACTTACTCCTTTGTTTCCTCTCCTCCCCTTTCCCCTTCCTCCACTCCATTTTCTGTGGGGATGTTGTCAAGGCCCAGGAAAACAAAAATCACATTGTCTAAGGAGGAACCCATTCCTGGATTAGAAGATTTTAGAACCATTTTGTCATGGAGTCCTGATTGTAGCTCTCTTTCTTGGCCTCTCTTTTCCATGTACCCTCATGGCCTGATTCCTGGTTTCTGTTATAACTCAATGTAGGTTCTAGGTTTAACTCCTGCCTGTATCTATAGGGTTGGGCCCATTGCCTTGGGTGAATTGAGTATTTGTTAAATAAACAACCACCCAAAAAAGTGATTAGGCTAAGATGAACTTTTGTGACTTATTTGAGGATATTGCTTTGTTATTTGCAGGATTGTGGCTTCTTGTCTTACTTTAGAGCAATGAGGAGTGTGGTCACCAGCCTTCAAGATGACCCTCAATGATCCCATCCTCCTGGTATTCACAACCTAGTGTAGACACCTCCCACCTTGTACCAGGATTGGTATGGGTGACCAGTAGCATATGGTGGGTGTGAATGGCATATCACTTCTGAGATTAGGTTATACAAGACTGCACCAAAAACAAACAAAAAGACTGAAGTTCCTGTCTCCTGGCTTGGGTGCTCTCTCATGTACCCTGCTCTCTTTCACTTGAGTCCTTTGCTCTGGGGAAAGCAAACTGCCATGTTGTAAGCAGTCCTACAGAGAGGCCTAGGTGACAAGGAACTGAAGCATCTGGCCAACAACCTCATAACCGACCTTAGAAGCAGAGTCTCTAGGCCCAGTAGAGCCTTAAGAAGGCAGTAGTCTTGGCCAACAGCGTAACTGCAACCTCATGAGAGATTCTGAGCCAGAACCATCCAGCTAAGCCACGCCTGGATTTCTGGCCTTCAAACACTATTAAGATTATAAATGTTTGTTGTTTTAAGCTATGAAGCTTTGAAGTAATTTATTATACAGCAATGGTAACTAATGCATGGTGGCAGCAAAGCATAGGGGTTTTAGAATTCAACTTGTTGGCATCCCAATTCTATGCATTATTAACTTTTCCATGTACAAATTCTTGAACTTCTCTGGGCCTCAGTTTCCACCTCTGTAAGATGGTGTTCATCACACCCATCTAGTTCAGAGAGCAGAGCTGAGTGACAGGAGATGCTTGAGTGGGAGGATTCCCAGCTCTCCTTGCTCCTGTGGGCAGGTGTGATATGAATGGCACCATGTCATCCTGTTTTGGTAGGGCTGCCTGGATTGCCAATGCCATGTTGCATGTAAAGGTTCGTCTGTGGTCTGCAGAATGTCCAGCAATTTCTAAACCATAAACATTTTCCTCGGTAGGAACAGAACAGAATGTCAGAGTTCATTTCTATGATTCGGTTCCATTGACTGTTTTTCATTAGGCCAAATCTGACTTCTTTCCAATTCTGAGTATAGGAATCAGTGCTGACTTTCATTTATTTAATAAACTTGTTATGTGCCCGACTCTGTTCTAAGCCCTTACACTTACTGATTTACTTCCCATTCCTATCCTATGATATTATATATATATACACATATATACACATATATGTATGTACATATACATATATAAGCACACACACCCTGTATTATTTCCATTTTACATATGGAGAAACAGACATAGGCAGGTTGAGTAGTCTGAGGTCACACAGCTAAGTAGTGGCAAAGTCCAGATTCAAATATGGGCAGTCTGGCTCCAGATTCTGCACTGTTAACCATCAAGCTGTACATGCCTCCTTGTTGTCCCACAGCTGTACATTCATGTTTCTTCTCTTTGCATGTCTGGCTACCTTCCTCAGGCAGCAAGAACAATCTAAGAGTATTCCTGGGCAATCAGTCTGGTGGTGGTGAGAGACAATATAATGAGTGAGTAGAAGGGCTACCTTGGGCTTTGGAAAAAGACCTAGGTTCAGTTTCTGACCTCTGTGTACTGTTAGCAAATTACTTTCGCTCTTGGAACCTCAGTTTCATCATCCGTAAAATGGGAAGAATAATAAAAATACCTTTTGACCATTAGGGGGAGCTCAAGGATGACTTATACCCCAAAAAGGGGAAGGATTGCTTATGTGGATTCTCAGTTCTAGTCATTGGCAACACTAAAGGGCAGAGCTTTCCTGTGTTGTGGGCAAGGGTTTGCATGACGGGGACTGGCCATCCCAATTTTCCCAGGGATGAGGGATTTCCTGGGATGCAGGACTTTCAGGGCTAGTGCTGGGACAGTTCTGGACAAACCAGGCCAGTAAGTCACCCAAGTTGGAGCCCTGAGCCTTGGGGGAAACCAGCCTTTTGGAACACTTGCCCTGATTTCTCCAGTGGGGCAGATATGAAGAGAGGGATATGGACACATAATTTATTAGTAGAAAATGATTAAGGGCAGCAATCTTAGTATTGAGGGTTTTTTTTTTTTTTATCATAGCTTTATTGAGATAGAAATAACATTCACGTACCATACAACTTATCCATTTAAAGTGTACAATTCGATGGATTTTAGTATACTCACAGAGTTGTCCAACTATTACCACAATTAATTTTAGGACATATTCATCATCCCCGAAAGAAACAGCATATCCTTAGCTATTGACGCTTGCCTCTGCCCCCGGTTCTCTCCATCACACCCAGCCCTAGGCAATCACTAATCTACTTTCTGTCTCTATGGTTTTGCCTTCTGGACATTTCCTGTGAGTTGAATTATATGATATATGGTCTTTTGTACTAGTTTCCTCTACTTAGCATGAGAGGAGAAACTTCTTCAAGGTTCATTCATATTGTAGCCTGTATCAGTACTTCATTCGTTTTTTGCTGAATAATATTTTTTTGTATAGATATACCATAGTTCATTCATTCATCAGTTGTAGACATTTGGGTTGTTTCTACTTCTTAGCTGTTGTGAGTAATGCTGCCATGAGCAATCATGTACAAAGTTTTTGTGTGGACATATGTTTCATTTCTCTTGGAGTATATACCAAAGAGTGGAATAGTGGAGTTTATGGGCCATATGATTACTCTGTGTTTAACCTTTTGAGGAAGTACAAGACCACTTTCCAAAGTGACTGCACCATTTTACAGTCCCCAGAAGCAATATATAAGGGTTTCAGTTTCTTCACATCTATACCAACATTTGTTTAAAAAAAAAAGAGAGAGAGATGTGGGTCTCTGCTCTTTTTCCCAGGCTGGAGTACAGTGGTGTAATCATAGCTCACTGTAGCCTCAAGCTGCTGGGCTCAGTTGATCCTCCCACTTCATCCTCCTGACTAGCTGGAACTACAACCATGCACAACCATACCCAGCTAATTTTATTTTATTTTTTTAGAGACAAAAAATATGTTTTGTCTCTAAAACATATGTTTGCTATGTTGCTCAGGCTGGTCTCTAACTCTTGGCCTCAAACAGTCCTCCTGCCTCAGCCTTCTGAGTAGCTGGGATTACAGATGGGAGCCACTGCATCTGGCTCTGCCTTTTTGATTATAGCGATCCTAGTGGGTATGAAGTAGTATCTCATTGTGAGCGGTCTTGTTTTGAAGTTGCATTGGTATAGCAAACACATTTTATCACTGGCTCTGTCTTTTTGATTATAGCAATGTTAGTGGATATGAAGTGTTATCTCATTGTGAGCAGTCTTGTTTTGAAGTTGCATTTGCATAGCAAACACATTTTGTCACTTATACTACTTGGATTCATTTGAGGTAACTGGTGAAGGTTATGGGAGCTTAAAGAAACTCCTATTCTCCCCTTTGGTTTTACTACTAAGTCCTGGCTGCCTTCTTTTTCAGAGGAATGCCTGCGGGAGGTGGATTAGGTCAAGGGTCCTGTAGTCCTTTAAGGAGAGTCCTTGCCACCCTCCCGTTATTTCCCTAGTTTCCCTTTTCCTCACCCTTGTGTCAGTCCAGAGATGAGGGTGGGTTGCAGGGTGAAAAGACTGATCAATCTTTTTAGCTTTATGCTCCCTACTGTAGGTCAAAGAGTGGCTTTGAAATGGCCCGATCAGCTCACCAGGCATCTTAGTCCATATGGGCTAATATAACAAAATACCACAAACGGGATGGCTTATCAACAACAGAAATGTGTTGCTTATAGTTCTGGAGGCTGGGAAGTCCAAGACCAAGACACTGGCAGATTCTGTGTTTGATAATGACAGTTTCCTGGTTCATAGATGGTGTCTTCTCACTGTGTCCTCAAATGGTGGCAGTGAGGAAGGGAGCTCTCTTCTGCCTCTTTTATAAGGGCACTAATCCCATTCATGAGGGTTTCACACTCATGACCTAATCACCCCCCATAGATCCCACCTCCCACTACCATCACCTGGGGGTGAAGATTTCAACATCGAAATTTGTGGGGGATGCATACACTCAGACCATAGCACAAGTTGGGGACAAAAGCTCTGAGTGTCAGCAGGGTTGCACTGGCTTGGAAATGCTGTCTGTGTCCAGATCAGGCATTACAAACTGTATGACCTAGGGCTCATGTTGCATTAACAATGTTGTGTGTGGTCCACAATGTTTCAAAATTGGAAAACTTGACATAAAAATCCACTCTTCTGGCTTTTGTTTAAAAATTTGCCGGCCCAACCATGCTGTTTCCACCTTTCTGCGTTGCTGCAGTTGGCTGGGGCTGAGCCCTGGCTGCCCCCTGAAGACTGGTGTGAGCTTTCCAAATCTCCACAGTTCCCACCATACACTGTTGCATCACAATGGGCCATCTCCACACATTTGTCACCTGTCTCATACTTGAGAATATTTATTAGTGCCCAATTCCTTCAGGGACCTAACACGGTGAACTTAGGCCATAATAGGTAGCAGGGCTAAATACAGACACTTGGGATCCTGGTTTTCCAGCCATCTGCATACCGTCTCCTGATGAGTGAGTGCAAGCAAGTTTCAGGGGTAATGTGGGCATCTAATTTGTGATTTATGGTTCTTAATCACTTTTATGGGCCAGCCCCTGTTCCTAAGAGTTTTGCGTATATTAATTCATTTAATCCTCATAGGAACCCAGTCATCCTAGTTTACAGATGGGAAAACTAACCCCCAGAGAAAACACTTACTCACAGTCCATGGGTAATAGTTGCAGAGCCAGAATTTGAAGTCAGGAGCAAATGAGGTCATTTTGCAAGGTTGCTCATGACCTAGTGTCTTGTTCATTATGGGGATTCAGTGGGTGCAAGCTTTATAATATTCATCTAATCTTGCCAGCTGCTGCTAACGTGCTGCATGGCTGGGGATTAGTCCCGGCCAGATGTCCCATAACAAAAGTTAGGAGTTGAAGAGTTGAAGTAGATGACATTTGTGTTTGGAGAAATGATATGTCTCATTCTTTTCAGCTCTAACTTGGGGTAAGTTTCTGAAAGCAAGTAAGAGAAGAGGAGAGGGACATTTGTGATCTCTCATGTATAGAAGACTAGCAAATAGGCAGGTGGTCACACCTGAAGGCATGTCCCCTGACCCCTATTACATCATGCCATGGGCTGAATGTCCAAAATGCCTCTCCCAGCTCTGATTGACCTGGCTACTCTGATGAGTGAAGTCCACCAGGGAAGACATCGTGCCCTCATTTCTCATCCTCCTGTCCCCAGGAGTAACACAGAAGCAGTTAGTAACACAACAGCATTGTCCTCACACACACAGGCCTGCTTTGTTTCCCCACCACACAGAGCAGCGGCTGTAACAATGGCCCCGAATGACACTTTGCCCTCCTTTCTCCGATGTTGCACTTGTTTTTTTAGTCTGGAATTGGCTAAACAATGATTTCCTGCAGTGGGTATCAGCTTTTCATATTTTCTGCCTGCTTCTCTGTCAGTCTTCAGGCCCCAGGTGAGTGAGTGGCGAGCGGGCCCAGAGAGCTCTGGGCCCATTGGAACATTCCCTTTTCGGGAGGCTGGAAGGCCATGGTTCTTCACCTCTCCCCAGCAAGGTGGAACCTGCCCTGGAAGAAGAAACTGGATCAGGTAACACAAGAGAGACAATGAGAGGTTGGGGCTAGGGGGTGGGGCTGCAGGGGATGGTTGAGTATCTAGCCCAAGGAGGATGGGTTTCTGGCTTCAAGACATCCTATTTTCTTGAGAGCCACCATATGCTGTTAAATAAATAATGAAAAGCAACAGAGGTCAAGTTCAGCAGCCTCCCGATTAGGAAAATGCCCGCTGGCTGGCTGGCCCTGTTCAGTGCCTCTGATATCTCTGGGTGACCAGGGTCTTCATGGCCCATGTAGATTTATTGAGGTGACTGTTGCCTTAATAATAGCCGCTAGTACTAAGCTCTTTCTCTATGTACTGCATATGTATACCTATTACTGTATGTCTCTCACTGAATGATTAGTAATGATAGCAAACCCTTATGCAACGTGCCTCAGATTCTTGCTTCATTCAAACCCAGGCAGTCTGGTTCATCTGCGCCTTTCATCATCATGCCCCTTGTAAAGCTTTTTTTTTTTTTTTTTTTAAACAACGTTGTGCTAATAAACCAAGGTCATCACAAGATTTCATTTTGAGAGGCAATGATGTATAATGATAGCTATGTGTATTGTGAGTCCTTTGCCCTGTGCCAGGCAGCGTTCTAAGTGTTTTGCAGCTATTTCATCAGATGGATACTTTATGATCTCTATTTTATGGATGAGGAAATTGAAGTACAGAGAATTTAAGTCATTCACCCGGAGTCACACAGTTGTTAAATGGCAGAGCCTGGATTTGAACTCAGTTTTCTCTTAAGTATTGTGGGAATCTTAGTCCTGCCCAGCCCTGCTGGTCTGGAGTTAGTCTGCTTCTCTAGGTCATGGGGTATAGAGGATGACATTCAGTTTCTGGCTTCATAGAACATCTGCACCCAAGTTGAAAGCTTAAGGATTTTTTTTGTTTGTTTTAAATGATTTTTCTATTGGCATCAGCTAGTCTTGCTTGAAGAAGATGGAATTGCTCAATGATGACAGTGAAGGAATTTGAAAGGATAAGAATTGCTCAATGAGTGGTATCTCTTTTTTGGCCAGAGACCAGGCTAAGTTGCCTCATGTGTAGAAGAACATACGTGAAATATACAGGACTCATGGTATATTATGAAAGCAAACTTTATTTTTGCCTATCATTGTTCCTAATTTTTTTCAGTGGGTCCTCACTCTTCCCTTGCCCTGGGATGAAAATTAAAGCAGGTCCACAACTCTTCTGGGCCCCCTTCAGGAATCAAAAGTTCTTAAGTCACTTTTAGTTCCAGCACAGCCTCATTCAGCAATTGGGATGTCCAGTCCCAGGGAATCAGCCAGATCTTCGAATTTGGTTCCTAGTGGAGACTTCTCTCCCTTCTCTAGTGGGGCCTGCAGCTTGGAAAGGGGGTCTATGGATGGCTTCTCATTTCCCACATTAAGTTTCCATCCTTCTCTCCTCTGGCTTACTGAGGATTCTGACTCCTGGCAGGGTGAAGGGAGAAGAGAGGAGGCAGGAAAGGAGCTGGAAGTCCTTACTTGGTTAATGCTATGACAAGCTGGCATTTCACTGGCAGGTTCTGGTGGGTGTGTAAACCTAGTTCTTTCTCTCTTGGCACAGTCTTGTGGATAGTTCAGAGAGCGCCATTATTTCTCATCTTTGGGGATCTCTGAGTTGCTGGTCCCTTGAAGCTGGTTACCTAATAAGACTCCTTCTTAGTTCCCTGGCATCTAAGCAGTGCCATATTAGTTTGCTGGGGCTGCCATGACAAAATATCACAGACTGAGTGGCTTAAACCAGCAGTCCCCAGTTTTTTTGGTATCAGAGACCAGTTTTGTGAAAGACACTTTTTTCCACAGACCAAGGTGGGGATGGTTTCAGGATGATTCAAGCGCATTACATTTATTGAGAACCTTATTTCTATTATTATTACATTATAATATATAATGAAATAATTATACAGTTCACCACAGTGTAGAATCAGTGGGAGCCCTGAGCTTGTTTTCCTGCACTAGACAGTCCCCTATGGGGGTGATGGGAGACAATGACAGATCATCAGGCATTAGATTCTCATAAGGAGCATGCAACCTAGATCCCTCACATGCGCAGTTCACAATAGGGTTCGTGCTCCTATGAGAATCTAATGCTGCTGCTGATCTGACAGGAGGCGGAGCTCAGGTGGTCATGTGAATGATTGGGAGCAGCTGTAAATATGGATGAAGCTTCTCTCTCTCTCTCTCCCTGCTGTGTGGCCTGGTTCCTAACAGGCCACAGACCAGTACTTGTCCATGGCCCGGGAGTTGCGGGCCCCTGGCTTAAACAACAGAACTTAATTTTCTCACAGATCTAGAGGCTAAAAGTCCAAGATCAAGGTGTTGGCAGGTTTGTTTTCTCCTGAGGTCTCTGTCCTTGGCTTGTGGAAGGCACTTTCTCACTGCGTTCTCACGTGGTCTTTCCTCTTGGCATGTCCAAATGTCCTCTTCTTGTAAGGACACAGTCAGAGTGGATTAAAGCCTACCCTAAGGGCCTCATTTTAACTTAACCACATTTTTTAAAGGTCCTGCTTCCAAATACAGTCACATTCTGAGGTCCTGGGGGTTAGGGCTGCATCATAGAAATTTTGGGAGGATAGTTCAGGCCACAACAAGTGCTGTCAGCTTTTTTCTGAAGGTAAATTTCCATTCCTCCTGGTGGTCCCTGTCAGAAGGACCTACACATCCCACAGGTTGGCCACGGTACGTCTCTGGTTTATGGAAAATACTCAAGTTCCATTATCCCAGGGAATCCAGAGCTACCACGTTCTTCTCACTCCAGCTGATCACTCCATGTCTCTTGTATTTTGGGATTCACGGACATGATTCAGACATCAGCCCTCAGTGACAGTCAACCTCCAGGGACCAGCATCTTGGAGGCCATTGTTGGAGGGTGGGTAGTGGACAATTGGGACTTGGAGTGCACCTATTGCTGTCTCCAAAATTCATCCTCTATGCCACCAACTGTTCTCCTCACCCAACCTTCTTTGTGGGCTGGAGGTGGTCAGGTAAGAGGGAAACCAGCTTCATGCCACTTATTTTATCATCCCTGCTTGATGGCCTCGGTGTCACAGCTCACTTTGAAACATGTCTTTTGTCCTTGGCATTACCCGAACTGAGACCATAGTCATTTTTACATCCCACTACACAAACAACATCTCATTTAGTTTTCATAAAGAACCCTAGGAGTACTTCTACATGTGGAAGAGGAATCTGGAGCTCAGAAAGGTTAACAAATTCACCCAAAAGAGATTATTCAGTGAGTGCAGGGAGGGGAGTAGAGATTCAAGCTTTAGCCCACTTCATTATTTACTTCTCTGGGCCTTCATCATCTAGGCTTCTTAGAGCTTTTACCTACTGGAGTAGTTTGGTCTGTGCTGGTAAAACGTTTTCTTCTCAGCAGAAAGCTATAAAGGTAAAAAACAAAACAAAACCAAAAAAACCACCACACTTCATCTCCTCTTGCGCCACTTGTGATGCAGGGGCTGGCAACAGGAGGACAGGCGTATCAGGAGCTTTCTTGGGTATGTTGTGAGATGACCTCTATGTAACCAGGAAAGTTCTTTGACTGCTTGAAAGTCCTCCATTCCTGCCCCAGTATAATTTAATCAGCAGAATAATGAAGTTCAAGTGAAATATCTTTTTTTTTTTTTTTGTAGAAATGCATAAAGGCAATTCTGTTAGTCTGTTTTGTGTTGCTGTAAAGGAATACCTGAGACTGGGTAATTTTTAAAGGAAAGAGGTTTATTACGCTCACGTTTCTGCAGGCTGTACAAGCATGGCACTTGCATCTGCTCAGCTTTTGGTGTGGCCTCAGGGAGCTTTTACTCATGGCGGAAGGTGAGTGGGGAGCATGTCACACGGCAAGAAAGGGTGCAAGACAGTGCCAGGCTCTTTTTAAACAACCAGCTCTCTTGTGAACTTACAGAGTAAGAACTCACTCCATTATCATCAGGGCAGCAACAAGTCATTCAGGAAGGATCTGCCCCCATGACCCAAACATGTCCCACTAGACCCCACCTCCAACGCTGGCATTCGCATTTCAACATGAGATTTGGAGGATACAAACATTCAAACTGTATCAGCAATATTGCATTCTGAGAATTTTATTCAAGGCAGAAGGGGCCATATCATCTCACCTTCTAGCTCCCAGGAGGTACTTTACTTAAAGAGGATTTCCAAATATAAAGCTATTAAAAAAAAAAAAAAACCCTCTTTTTTGTTTAGATTTTTATTTATTTTTTTCACAAATAAAAAAACCCAAGCCTGTTGTTGCCCATTCTTCCTTAGGAAAGGGAAAGCTACATATGGGCCTGGCAGTGGTTCAGAGGCTGCCTGCCAAGGCTGTGTCAGGTTCATCTGGCAGCCGCACAGAGCTGGGCTGGGTTGCGCTGGGCTGAAGTTGGGGCCTAGGGCACAGGCCTGGGATGGGCTGGAGCTGCAGCTGCCTCTATCCAGGGAGGAAGGGGAGGATGATATTTTCTGTTCACCCACTCAGCAGTTATTTAACGAACATTTATTGTGCCCAAGGCTTTTGTGGGCTCTCTGCCAGGAAAGGGCAGGTCATTGAATGGGCCCTGGGAAAAATGATGTCTGAGCTTCTCTCCAGTTCTCAGAGGAAGGTAAAGCACTGGAGGCGGGTGGTTCAGGGAGAGGGCGCAGAGGCATGGAAAAGCATGGTGTGCTTGGAGACCTATGGATGTTTTTGAGATGCTCAAGCACAGGCCAGGGGTCAAGGGAGGGCAGGGGTCAGAAGAGGGAGGAGGAAGAAGGTGGAAGAGCTGCTGGATTGGAACTTGGTGGGCAGGCTGGGCCCTGGGAGGGCCACAGAAGGGTTTGAAGCAGAGTTGTGACCAGAGTGGGTTTGTCTTTTAAAGGGAACTCTGATGCAGGACGGGGACACACTTGAGCATCAGAGGTGTCAAGGCTCAGGGAGAGGGGTGAGGGAAGATGAAGGGCAGAACCGAAGCCCTGGGAGGGGTTAAGCTGGAGAGAGTGGCAGCC